TTATTATATATATATATAGTATATATGTATATATATATATATATATATATATTTATATTTACATACTTATTTTTGTATCCCACTAACAAGACTTAGATGATTGCTTTCTGTATTTTGTTAATTTTGTTTTGTTTATCATAATTGACCTATATTATTTATAATATTGTATTTATATTTAACTGGATGAGTGAGGTTCACAGACTTTGTGTTATAGTGATTAGGTTCGCTTTTGTGTTCCTGCCTACTCATTCAATTTATTGTACTTGTATCGTTTGTTTTTCACCATTGTATTGTACTCTGTTTTTTTTAGCAAATAAAGAATAATAATAATAATAAGACTATGATTGTAGAACAATTATAGCTAAAATTGTTCTTAATTGATGTCACGTTAAAAGTATGCATGCATTTTGGATGAAAGTTTAAAAATTGTTTCTTTTCAGTAAAAATAATTTCGCACGGTTAACAAATGGACCGATCCAATTAAAAAGTGAAACAAGTAAGAATTGCATAATTATTATTTAATCTAAACAATATTATTATTATTATTAATAGGTTAATACCAATACATCAACGAGTTTGATCAAATGTCATTCATTGTTTCAATGGTTAGCTTTTCTTGACACAATTTGTTTCTCTGTTTACTAAATAGATAAAAGCTTCGACACAATCGACTCCGTCATTAAATCATTAAAACTACAACGATGCCGACCGGATGTACCAGAACCTTTGAGTGATGGATTCTGGGAAAAGAAAACATGGCATTCATTTTCTTGCAATACAAAACAATGGACACTCGATGAGATCAAAGTTTGTGTTAAGGGGAGGAAGCTATTATTTATAGGGGATTCAACGACGCGGCAGTGGTATCACATGTTACTCTCTTACTTTGGATTTTCCCTTCCAAAAGATATGAAACAGACAGCAATGAATCTACAAAGCGACATTTTAAACATGACTTTTATGTTCCATTCGTACATTGTCAGTGCTAGACTGGAATTGGACAATTTGGCAAACTTCGAGGTTGATCAATTGGATTCGTTACCAAGAGACACATGTGATTACATCATTACAATAAGTCCCTTTGCCCACTATGAGCATTGGACAAAGGAGGCATATATAACTCGTCTTGAAAACATTCGTACAGGGATAATCAAATTCAGAAAAACTTGCCCAGAAGCAGTTTTTGTCATCAAAGGCTCGCATGCCAGACGAGTAAGGGCTGAAAAGAAGAAAGAAATAAATGGGTATTTTACAAGTGATTTGCTCTTATACCAGTTTCGAAGGCTCTTACGTGAGACATTCTCAGGGATGAACGTTCATTTCTTAGACATTTGGGACATGAATCTCTCGTATTACACTCCCAATACAGTACATATGCCACTTGATGTAATATTACAAGAACTCTTTATGTATTTTTCTCATGTTTGTCTGCAATAATGTTTCTAACAATCGAATGATAATTTAGTGGTGATTATGTGGGAAGTCAGTAAGAAGTTCATTACAGTAGTAGTACTGTATTCAAATCCTAAAGTCAAAACTGTAATGAAAAGTTAAATGTTTTAATACATTCTTTGGAAAGTTGTGAATCATTCAAAAAGTATCTTCAATGCTATCTTTATTACATTTTAGACGATTTAACATACACCACATTTGACTCCGCTCGATGCATTAGCATAGTTAGGACTTTGGCGAGGTAAAAAACTTTAATACCCACTCGGCAAAAATGCGATTACGTCACTTTGGCGACTAATTCGGTCGGTCTATTACGAGTGTCAAATTGATATATTATGACCACCTAACAAATGAAAGATGCTTGCTCTTATAGGTTCACAAAAATAAGCAATACTATGACTACAAAACAAAATCAATAATCAACCATGTAAACTTTTGGCCAATCAGAATGCATCATAAATGGTTCATCCTAAACAATGTAAATATACCAAAATGGCAAGATAATAAAAAATAGATCAAAAATATAAATGATGCTCATTCGTATTATGACGGCCACAGAGTGTGCAACTGGTTTTATTTTTCTTCATCATCGAGAAGAACACCAGCTCCAGCCCCAATAGTACCACCGATTACAGCTGCTTTAGCAGTCAGCCCCACAGCTCCAGCTGACTGCAAAATAGCGCACACGCTGCCTGCTGCTACTCCTCCTCCATTGGCCAAGACTGTGGTAGACATTATTGCAGCTGCTGGTGACCCAGCTAGAATACCGGCTGCTCCGAAACCAAGTGCCGTTGGGGCAAAGGCAACCACAGCTACTCCTGCAGCTCCTGCTGCCACCCAATTCATTAACCCTGTAAATAATCACACGTCCCAATGTATTTATCAATTGTCTGTTTAATATATTTTTCTAGTTTGATAATTATTGGTAGCGGCTTATACTATACTTTATCCACAAAAACAACATGTTATGTTTAAAAGTAGGCCTAGATGTATTATATTATTCAGATAATATAATTAAATTAGATGCAATGAAGTTGAGTACTGTACTCTGTACATTAGTGTAGTACCAATGTAGAAAATATGGAGAAAATATTTTATCTTAATATATTTTCTCCATGTTGTACCTGATCAAATGTTGTGATGTCAAGATTATTTAGTTCCTTGGTATTGTTATAAATAAGGATTTACTTGTTTTATTATGGCATAATTATAAAGGTGTACGGTAAGAATGGCTCCGGAAAAAAATGGCCCCGGTAAAAATGGCCCCATATGACTGGTAGGTAAAAATGGCCCCAATAATCAAATTCTGTATTAAAACTGATTTTCTTGA